TTCTCTTAAATACCAGTAGTGGTCAGGATCCTCATGGTCATGTAAAAGATCATGATCATCTATTTCTTTGTAGTATAGATAGTTTCTAAGAGCTTGCAAGGTCATACAAGATGGCATTCTTCGTAGTTCCCCTGTGCTCGCAAGTTCATTACTGGTGGACCAAGCATTATATTGCCCAGCTCTTCCATTAGCTACTTCATTACCTTCTCTCAGCCTCGCCATTCTCTATACTTTGCATGTCCTGCCATGGAGCTAATGATTGGTTTACCCTCTGAATGCGTGCACAAGTGATGTGAAGAAATGAATGACTGATATGGTGAAAAAGGTCAGAGTGGTTGTTAGCAAAACTTTTCCAATCTTACTGTGCCAACTGCATAGTTTTTACCTAGACGTGCGATGCAAAACCCACAGTGCTTCATCCATGCATTTTTAACCACTCCAGTAAGGATCCACAATGACTCCCATAGTATTGTGTTGTCAACTAGTGGTTGAGGTAAAAGATCACTCTTCTACCAGTGCGGCATCTTGCCTTGGTGCACGTGCTGTAGTTCTTCCTGTTCTTTCGACCTGTTTTACTGCTTTGAAGCCGTTTGTATGTGCTGTTCACTCTCCTGATGCCATGAATAGCCTCACCGAGATGCTCCAACGTATCATTGTCTCACCTAGATGCTTTAGACATTAATGAATAGTTTACCATAACCCATGATCTCCTAACTCATTATATATGTCCATCACCATGAAGTGCCAACACCCCTTCCTTATTCCATTAACTCCTAACTTGGTCCCTATTATTCTAAACTTCAGGGTGCTCTTAACACCTGTATATGCACAAGACAGATGCCAGTTCAAGCAATACACTTTTAACATCAGATGATTACTTATGTCACAGGTCTTTCCTGGCATAATCGATTAAAATTGCTGTACAAACAAAATCAAATTAGATTTAAATTAGAGCGCCTTGTTTTTTTCATAAACGTTCTTTATGAATATGTCTTTGTAATGATGACAAAGTAACTCTTAATAACAATGACACGTGCTTGTAAATATTGTGTTTCATGAACAGAAAAAAAAGGATGCAAAACACTGTTCTGCCATGTCTGCCTGCCATATTTTATTAAGACAATGACTGGCAACTGATGACGTTAACAATGCAAGAGCCCCAATAAGCTCCTTGCAAGTCATAAATGTTATCCTTTTATGACAGATGGTGACACCAACCTTTCAGACTCTTTCTAAATGCTAGGCACTGAAGACCTCTTCTATGGGCTTGACAGGCACATCAGACTTTCAGAGGGCCTCAGCAGATGCAGCAATTAATGGATTACAAATAAAACTGTGTGTATCGATTGGCTCTGCATTGAGACTGAGATGTTAAATTGTATTTTATGGCCTGTCTGTCCACAAGAGACTTTTTATATATTAATTTGACTGAGAAAATGGTAGCATATAGAAGAAGAGCTAGGTTTTAGCAGTTGTTTTGGGTTTAGCATAATTAAGTTGACTTTTCCAAGCCATTTTGCTGATCTGCATAATCTTCTTATTATTATTATTATTATTATTATTATTATTATTATTATTATTAATAATAATTATATGGTCAAATTTTATGAACTTTTCATGGTCCACAGTTTTTAACATGCCACCACCAAATTTTGCACAAACATTTCTCAAATACAAGAATAGTGTTTTTTTAACTGATCCAACATATGATTTTTGTAAAACGATCATTTGAAGAGTAAATTTTTCCCATTGAAAATGAATGACAGAATGTTCAGAACATCCAATCTAATTGCCACAATGTCACAGTGCATATCTCTCACACAGACACACAGACTTACACGCTTACAGCCTAATGTACAGCAATAACAGTAGTAATAACAATAGTGATAGCAGTAGTCATAACAGCAATAACAACACTAAAGTGGTAATAACAGAATAACAGAAATAAAACAGTAATAAAAGAGTTATAACAGAATTAATAGTCACAACAGAGACAACAGTAACAATACATACTCAACACACCCCACACCACACACACTCAACAGACCACACAGAACACACACACACCACAAACACGCACACACACACCACAGAAAAAAACACACACAACAGACACTTAACACAAAACAAAACATACACCACAAACACACCACACACATACCACATTGCACACCACACCACACCACACACACAAACACACCACACCACACACCACACACACATCACACACACCACAAACACACCACACCATACACAAATCACAAATACACCACACCACATACCACATACTCACCACAAATATACCACATACTCTACACACAACACACATGCACATTTTACATACAACACACACTGAACACAACAACCACTCCACACCGCAAACACTCTGAACACCACAGAGATTCAATACACAACAAATAATCCACACAATTTTGTCTCCTGCCTCATTGAAGCTTAATGCTCTAGGTGGAAAAGCAGAACATAAGATGATAAGGTGTGGTTGGTGGATTTATTGCCCAGTGTCCAATGAAAGCCAGTGTCTAGGTGATTACCAAGTATTGTCTTGAATAATATTTAAGATATAAATATTATTCATAGGCAAAAAGCAACATTAATATTATTCAGGATCTTTTTGCAGTCTATGGCCTGGATTCCCTGCAAAGGCACGGATAGAAGAGTTCTCCCACATATCTAAAATAAGCGTTCTTAAATGGTTTTTGGCTTGCACACACTGTTCTAAGGAAATAAAAAAAAACTTTTGGTATAGAATCATATTCTTTATGTAGGAGGTTCTTCTAATTTTCATCATATGTTCATTAAACTTAATCATTTTTTTGCAAATATAAAAGAATTTTCAGTGCCAGTAATTAAAGCGATATATTGTTTCTCATGTATAAGACAGACATAAAGAGTTCTAGTTGTGTCAGGAGCAAAGGCATATATTTGAAGTCTACCCTATTTACCAAGAACAGACTATAATTCCCTGCCAGCTGGTATGATATCCTTATTATTCCTGACTAAAGTCACCTCACGTGTAACAATTCTATTCACTATTATTGTGTTCTAGCCACATATGTAAACAGCCAAGCTACCTTGTTATGCACAGTTGGTGCACAGAAATAGAGTACAGGAAATATTATTGCAGCATACTTCTGCCATTGAGATAGAAACTCACTCTAACATGTAGTCTATACAGCTATGAATTGCAACCTCAATACTACTAACAATGTGAAAAACAGTTATCTACCTTACAGGCATAAATAAATTAATGTTTTGTTATTTTCTGATGACTTGATTTTTTAGCTGTATTACTATTTCTCTATTGTCTCAAACATTTATAACATTTCTGCTAGCTAATATTTTGTTACAGTTTACAACTACTACTAGCTAAATTTATTTTTAAATTATTTATTTATGAATTGATTTTTATAATTCATATATTTTATAATATTTTAATTTTATAATTTTTAAAATATATTTGTATCTGAAATCATTTATAAATTGAGTTTCATTATGGTCTTGTAACATGTATCACTTTAATTAGGGGTTTGTTAAAATTTCCCGTTAAATGGGGCCAGAGAACACCAGCAAGTGGTATAATTTGACTGAATTGTAAATTGTATTTAATGCAGTCTTTGTGCAATCCATCCATCATGGCAGGATGCATTAATTCCTTCCTGCTGTTCAATGATGCCATTTCAATTTGTCGTTATTTGCCAGCTGTTACTAAATGTACTCAAAGGCACATATTTGCACTTATAGCCAATAGTGTGTGTAGATTGATATTGCTATTCGGCTCTATCAATTCAAGTTAAATGAACTATTTCTTTTAGGTAGGAAGCTGGGGTTTCAGTACTTTGAGAAGCATGTTTGCAAATTTTACTGGACACAGCATTAACATGTTGCACAGAGGTGAAACATTTCACAGATTTTCTGGATAAAATGTCTTGTCTCTACCACAGCCTCTTAAAAACAAGAGGCAGCTGCAAGTAATGATGGGTGACGTCATTGTTTGGAGCAGTTAATGTTGCTAGTTTAAAGGCTGTAGTGTGACTTTCGTCTTTGTCAGACAAGAATCAGCCAAGTAAGCTGACTGTCATAATTAAGACAATAAGACAGAAACACATCATGATATCAGTGCTGAGAACTCTGTATAATACCAAATAAAATGAACAGTACTGTTCCAATATTGTTGACACTCATGGGGGCACACAAGAGGTCGCCCCACCTCAAAAAAAATCCCAATTTTACCCCTTTGTCCCAGTGAATATAATAGATGCTAGCATATTCAATCTTAAGAAACCTTATCTGACTTTGTATTATACATCAATTGTTAATAGCCACTCATTGAAAGTATTATCAGTGACATTCAGTGTTCAAAAATGTGACTCATTGGCCAGTGGTCTGGTATACAATACACCAACAAAACAAAACATTCTACTGAGATAACCAGAGGAATGTTGCGGTCTACATAAGTTATTCTCACAATTAAAAGTCAATCAAGCTTGCTTTTATTTGCTGAAGGCAAAAACTGCTTAAGGCATGGCAAAGCAAGAGGACATTTGGACACTGATGCTAATGGTTTACACTTTTAGAGTTCGTCTGTGCAGAACAGTTGTGGTCAAATATCAATTTTTCTTTAACAGGGAATGAACATGAATTGTCAATCTAAAGTGATAAATCAAGTTTGACTAGAGATATAATTTGTGATTTTTTTATCTTCACTTCGTCTTAATGGGGAGGATAACATACGTCAAATGTGTCAGTTTTGATTTCACTGCCCACAGTACTTTTGCAGGGCACAGCAGTGGCGTTTGCACATTGGAATTCGCACCTTTTCAGATTTATACATGTGTGCTGTCTGTGTGTATTTTTGTGATTGAAATTGTAAACATGAATCCCACTGACACCAGTACTCGCTAATCTCTCTCTCTTTGTCTCTCTCTCTCTCTCTCTCTCTCTCTTTCTCTCTCTCTCTCTCTCTCTCTCTCTCTCTCCAGTTGCCATGGAAACAGTTCTCTTCTTCTGTTCGCTCCTTGTCTATGTAGCTGGTAAGTGCCCCCCCACTTTATTTCTCTTGGCCCATTGGCATCTATTAGGAATGCATGAATGCACAGAGGGCAAAAATGAGGGGAGGACATCATGGTGCTAAACACACTCACATTACATATTGTTGATCTCACTTATAGCTTTTCATTGGTGACCTCTTATGGCATTCTATATGGGGGCGTGTCATATATATGTGTGTGTGTTTTTACGGTTGTGCATGCCTGTCTTCTACAATTATTTGGATCTATTTGCCATTCTGTGATTCATTATGATTGTATGTGGTCCTGTGCTGGTAGAATGCATTGTTTTCCTCTCAAAATTCATCCATGAAACTAGTCTATCCATTTAAATCCATTTCTCCACAGGGAAACATCTCTCCACACACATAAATAGGACACGTAGAGCTGTCAGCACATGTGCAATCACTGTGAACTACTTTCATGCCTACACATGGAGCTCTGTGCAATAGCAGTAACGGATGAACCTGACTTAATCTCAATAAACAAACAGAACAAAACTTCCTAAAGGCATAGTTGCCTGGCATCCTCCTCCTGTTTGTTATCCTTTTGTTTTTCCTGAAGTGCCAATCACTTCAGCCACCCTCAGTTTTCACTGCCTCCTATCTAAACCCCTTTCATTTTATTTTGATATTTGTGTTTCTAATGCTCTATATTGCATTCTGTCCTTCCTGCATTTTATCCTATTTTCTTACCAATTCTCACCCTTCTTCCCTTTTCTTTCAATTGTGTCTCCTCATATTCTTAATAATATATGCTGTTTTCATCATCTGTTACTTGCCCTTTATTTTATCCTAGAAAACCTTGGTCATACTCTACAATTAATGGAAATAAAAAAAATTATGCAAACCACATTGATGGTGTTGCTGTTTAAGACTACGTTTGCTTGGTGTTTGTTATAAACTGCATAAATTTATGTTAAGTTCTTAAGAGTGATTTAACTTCCTTTGACATGGCAATATGAACAAAGAGAGAGCTGTTTTTCACACATTTCATATTTCAAATAAAAAAAACAAAAGAAAATTTTATGACAGAGCTAAAGAGCTAAAGCCACAAACACAGGGAATTTAAGTTTCTTCAGAGCTGTAACGTGCAACCAGTAAGCAGACGCTCGCGGATGTAAAACAGTGAAGAAGCTTTACTTGGGGATTTAGACAGAGATATCGTCGTCAGTACACAGGCATGGGTCAGTTCCAAAGTCAGCAACAAAACACAGAAGGCGATCATAACAAAGTAGGGCAAGGCAGATCAGAGTCCAGAACACAGGCAAAAGTCAAAAACCGAATATCCAACAAACCAGGCAACAGTATCAAAAGGGCAAATCCAAAAATCAGAGAGAACGAGAAACAGAGTCCAAACAAAAGGTCAAAAACACTGGAGGGGCTCAGTAGTTTCACTAGGAAAGCAATACCTCGCAATGAACCTGATTAAAGCCCGGGCTAATACACTAACTAAACAGGTCATGTGAGAAAACATACAGGTGAAAATTATCAATATTCAGGAGAACTAGAGCGGTGATAGGCTGCTGATGATCTTCCCGGAGTCAGGTGATGAGGCGGAGGATTCTGGGAATCGTAGTTTTGAGTCACTTGCGTAGATGGAGGATTTGATGATGCGAGATCCTGAGTCACGTGAGCAGGCAGAGGATTCTGGGAATCGTAGTTCTGAGGCTGGCTGGCTGAATACGTGACAAGAGCACTATATATTATAAGGCTTGCAGATTACATTATATTCATCATCATCATCATCATCATCGTTAACCACTTAGTCCAGATAGGGTCGCGGTAGCAGTTGGGAGAGCAGAGAATCCCAGATGACCCTGTCCCCCGCAACTTCCTCCAGCTCAGTCCCGGGGACCCCAAGCCGCTCCCAGGCCAACTTGGAGATATATTCCCTCCAGCGGGTCCTAGGACGACCCCGGGGTCTTATTCCGGGAGGCCGTGCCTGGTACACCCCCACCGGGAGGCGTCCAGGGGGCATCCGAATCAGATGCCCGAACCACCTCAGTTGGCTCCTCTAAAGTGTAGCCCGCCACCCTGCAAAGAAAGCTCATTTCCGCTGCTTGTATTCGCGATCTCATTCTTTCGCTCATTACCCACAGCTCATGACCATAGGTGAGGGTCGGGATGTAGACCGATCGGTAAACAGAGAGCTTCGCCTTATGGCTCAGCTCCCTCTTCACCACTACAGTCCGGTACAGCGACTGCATTACTGCTGCCACTTGTCCCAGCCTGCGGCCAATCTCACGATCCTTCTTCCCATCACTCGTGAACAAGACCCCGAGATACTTAAACTCCTCCACCTGGGGCAAGTCCTTTCCCCTTAGCTGGAGTGGGCATACCATCCTTTTCCGGGCTAAGACCAGACTTGGAGGTGCTGATCCGCATACCAACCGCTTCACACTCCAGTGCGCGCTGGAGGCATCCATGTGATCCAGCCAAAAGAACAACATCATCTGCAAATAGCAGAGACGCCACATTACATTCCAAGAGCGAGTTTCTGCCACAGGGGCCTAGGCCACCAAGGGCCCCTGTGCAATCTCCCACTGCCTGTACAGCACTGCACCACTCCCCCATGCTGGACCTTGCGGGTGATGGGCCCACATGGTCCCCCCACGTTGCCTCTTCGGGCTGAGCCCGGCCGGGTTACGTGGGCTGCCCGGCCACCAGGCGCTCGCCGAGGGACGCTACCCCCAGGCCTGGCTCCAGGGGTAGGTCCCGGTGACCCTCTCCCGGGCAGGGTACACGATGTTCTGTGTCCGTTTATCATGGAGGTTTTTGGATCGAGTTAGTCTGGGTCTTCACTCCAGACCTGTTCGCCCTGGGAGACCCTACCAGGAGCATGTTGCTCCCGACGACTTAGCTCTGAAGATCCCTAGACCACACAAGCCCTTCCACCACGACAAGGCCCCGATCCAGGAAGGGTTACATTATATTGTATTACAGAAATTATAATTTACTGTATTCTAGCTTTTTCTCTTTTTGCCATAGTTTAACCAGTAAAACATGAAACATGAAACTTAAATTTAAAAACATGTAAAAGCATGTAGCGCAGCACTATTTGCCAATCTGATTTTGAAAACTGTGAAACTAGTCCATGGATTTTTGGAGACAAATTGAAACTACCAGGGTTACTTCACATAGGCTGCAGGATTTGCCCTGTGTAGACACAGTTTACATAGACAAGTGGCATAGGCAGAAATAGTTTTTTGCGTAGGCCTGTGAAAAGTAGGTAGGCCAACTTGGTAGATGCAATTTCCAAACATGCCATGTCCTGCAATGCCATAGCATAAGTCTCTGGCCTATTGCTAACAGCAGTGCAGTCATCACCTTATGAAATGTAATGCTTCTTCACTGTGGTGATATAAAACAATAGAAGGATTTTTCACTTAAACCTAGCCAACATTGCAACATTAGATTAGATTTTGTAGTAAAAGAGCATTGTAAGTACCAAATTCACAAACCACTGATGACAAGAACATTTTTAAAATGTGTTATTTTGCTTTGGAAACATACTCTGCTACATCAGGGACAGGAGCTCACTTTCATAGGTCTCCAAGGTACCGCAGATGGAGCTCATGAGAGGCACAGAGGCAGGACACAAATCCCGAACTCTGCTGCCCAGTCCCCGCGTCCTGTTCCACAGCTAGGCTGCTGGACTGCAGCTCATGTTTGATCCAGGTGGCCAAGCTGGGGAGCGGGGGTGGTGACAGGAGGTGGAGCAACAAACTCTCTGCCCCTCTCGGCTCAGGTGCTCAATTGATCTGGAAAATTAAATCTGAGAAAAGGACTAAAATTTTGGCTTTGAATCCACTAAAAGTGCCCAGATTTTGGTTTTGTTTGGTTTGTTTGGTGTGGAAATAAAGTAATGGCTGCTGAAACCCTGAACCCTGCCTCTAGCGTCCTTCCTGTGCCCAGGGTAGTACATGCCGTGCTGCAGTAATTTACTATTCACAAGTTTGCAATAATCTCACTATTTACTGAGATGTGTTCATTTTTTATGTTTATTTTATTTTTATGTTTATTTTATTTTTTATTCAGTAATAATTTATAAAATGTAGAATTAAAAATTGTAAACTAGACCCCATAAGGTATTTCTAGATATTTTACTTGACATTTTTAACTAGACATTTCTTGTATTTTGGAAACAATAAAAAAAGTATAAGATAAACAATTTATTGTAAGTATCTATTTAGAATCATTTTCTGCCTCAAGTCTTGACACACAAGGCATCCTGGATTTTAATTTAGCATAATTCTACTATTCATGTTATAGACACTTTCCTGCAACCAGATTTTTCTTGCAACCAAATCAATTTTGTTTGACCGAAAACATTACAAGCAAACTTTTGAATGATAGTGTATCTATTTTCTAGTTAATCCTCGAAAATAAGTTAAAAAATAATGTCTGCATGCCTGCCCTGCTGCTTCAAAAAGCAGCTAGCAGCTAAACAAAAACAACTAAATGTTTTACTGTTAACAGTTAACAAATCAAAGAAAATCAACTCAGAACTCTGTAGTTACAATATTTTTCAAGTAACAATGGAAAAAGATCATAAAAATCTGCAAATTGTAGTGATCCAACATATAACCCCAATTCCAAAAAAGTTGGGACGCTGTGTAAAATGTAAATAAATGTAAATAAAACAGAATGCAATGATTTGCAAATCTCATAGACCCATGTTTTATTCACAGTCTAACATAGAACACATATCAGATGTTGAAAGTGAGACATTTTACTATTTCATGAAAAATATTAACTCATTTAGAACTTGATGGCAGCAGTGCATCTCAAAAAAGTTGGGACGGGGCAACAAAAGGCTGTAAAGTAAGTGGTACTAATAAAAAACAGCTGGAGGAGCAATTTGCAACTAACTCACATGACTGGGTATAAAAAGAACATTTTAGAGAGGCAGAGTCTCTCAGAAGCAAAGATGGGCAGAGGTTCACCAATCTGCAAAAAGCTATGTCTACAACTAGTGCAACAATTTCAGAAAAATGTTCCTCAAAGTGAAATTGCGAAGACTTTGGGTATCCCACCATCTACAGTACATAATATCATCATCAAAATTCAGAGAGTCTGGAGAAATCAGATGGTCAGTATTGGATGCTTGTTATTTTTGGGCCCTCAGGTGGCACTGCATTAAAAACAGGCATGATTCTGTACTGGAAATCACTGCATGGGCTCAGGAACACTTACAAAAATCATTGTCTGTAAACACAGTTCATCGTGCAATCCACAAATGCAAGTTAAAGCTGTATCATGCAAAGAAGAAGCCATATGCCAACACAATCTAGAAATGCCACCCTCTTCTCTGGGCCAAAGCTCATTTAAAATGGACTGAGGCAAAATGGAAAACTGTTCTATAGTCAGATGAATCAAAATTTTTAATTCTGTTTGGAAACCATGTACACCGTGTCCTGCGGACTCAAGAGTAGAGGGACCAACCAGCTTGTTATCAGCGCACAGTTCAAAAGCTTACATCTTTGATGGTGTGGGGTTGCATTAGTGCACATGGCATGGGCAGCTTACACATCTGGAAAGGGACTATCAATGCTGAACAGTATATAGAGGTTTTAGAACAACATATGCTCTCATCCAGACAGCGTCTCTTTCAGGGAAAGCTTTGCATATTTCAACAAGATAAACCACATACTGCATCCATCACAACAGCATGGCTTCACAGAAGAAGAGTTCGGGTGCTGAACTGGCCTGTCTGTGGTCCAGACCTTTCACCAATAGAATACATTTGGCGCATATGAAATAAAAAATCCTGCAAAGAAGACCCAGCACTGTTGAGCAGCTAGAATGGTAGACATGGCAATTTCCCAACATTTTTGAGATACGTTGCTGCCATCAAGTTCTACATGAGTTAATGTTTTTCATGACATTTTCATGACACTTTCAACATTTGATATGTGTTATATGTTCTACTGTGAATAAAATATGGGTCTATGAGATTTGCAAATCATTGCATTTTGTTTTTATTTACATTTATTTGTATTTTACACAGCGTCCCAACTTCCTTGGAAATGGGGTTTTACCTTTAACTCTTATTGTGGGGCTTTTTGCTTTCGGGATTTTATAATTTCTAAAAAAAAATGGCAAGCTTGACAGGGGTCCTTTCAAGTGCTATAATTATGATAAATGAAATGTAAATAATATGTAATAATATAATATATGTACAGATCTACAAATAAAAACTGAAGCGAAGAACCAGGGTGTTTTTGATACATACTACAAGTTACTTATTTTTGCTCAGTTTAATCATTGAACTTATTTTTTATAGCTATCTCTTCATGAATGAACAGACAATAATTGCTATGGTCTGCAAATAAGACATTCATGGCAGTGCTTTATACCTCTCTCTCTTTCTCTCCCTTTTAGCTGCATCTGATGCCAGCGCGCAAGGTAAGTTGATCTATTTCAGTAAGTTTAGCCATTTGAGCATTTCTAAAAGGCATGCAAGATCTTCTGCAGTATTCAATGCATTGTGTTAGGCCATAACACATTTATAAACCTGAGTACTTCTGCTAATGCTGTGTAGGTGCCTGAGTGGGTTAAATTCAGTGATCTCTTAGTTATATTAAACCATTTTAAATGTGTATATTTATTCATGTGAGTCACAAAATATAAATGTATGTATTATTTTCAGTAAGTGGTTTTTTATGGTCTTTTTTTTCACTCCAACAGAGGGGAAAAAAGTATTGGATCCATTTGAATATGGTAAGAGTGATGTCATAGGAACACTTGCATGATCTGTGCTGCAAGTTCCTAAAATACTGACTTGACATTGGGTTATACTGCAAAAATGGTATCTTGGCAAGTGAAATTATCTTGAACCTAGTTCATATTTCTCATTTTGAAACTGCTGTAATGTTATTATAAAAGTATGTAACTTATTTTTAGACATTTTGTACTTGTTTTAGGTGATTTTAGTAAGTCACATTATCTCACTATATTTGGCTTTTTTAACCATATTTTTACAAGAAGTAAAATTATCAAGCTCTCAAGGTGGCTGATATTTAAATCTAATTCAGTACTGACCACTTAAACCTCAGCCCCTTCATAGCAGGATCTGAATTTGTTTTAACGATATTTGAGCAGTTCAAATTGTTATGTTACCCCTCATCCTTCCCAGACTACGAGAGCTTGAGGATTGGTGGTCTGGCATTTGCTGTGGTGCTCTTTGCTTTGGGCGTTCTCCTCATCCTCAGTAAGATAAAACACTGTACACCTACTAAAAATCTTACCACAAACAGACTGTCATATTTCCAAGTGTTTTGAATGTATAATTTAAACCTGTATCTCTTTGCGTTGTCTTTAGGCAGGAGATGCCGCTGCAGTTTTAACCAGAAGCCCCAGAGGTAACTCCCAGATGATTGTGTGCATATTTGTGAAATATTGATTGATACACTTATGTTACATGCAACTGAAAAAGCACTATTTGTTCATTCAACGAGCAGTCCCATTTGTGCATTGCATTATTAACACTAATGTTAAGCTTAATGTCAGGTTGAATTACTAACAAATAATACTCTGTTGTCAAAATCTGCCATTTTCATAATAATGCACCTTACATTTCTCATGAGCAAATTCTGATTGTTGCATGGATACACTTTTTCAGTTGGTATATGGACCATTCTACCTAATTAGTTCCCACAGTAAAAGCAAGCATTCAGATCTTACATATTTACAAGGATTATGTTATGAGGAAATTAAACCCAAAGCATTAACTGAGATAGTACTGAGTTAAGCATAAAAATCATAATTATAGAATAACAATAGAATAATTTCTTTTGAAAGTGGCTGTCTGCCAACCCTGAAATTCAACGTTTTTTGTATTTTTAAATTATTTTATTAAAGACCTTTTTTATTTCATTTAAAGTGAAGTCGTATGATTTTGTCTGATCATAAGTTTAATTTTTAAATGGAAAAACTTCATTTAACGCAAAGAGTTTTAGTCCATAATGAGAGCCTTATTTTAGACACACCCCTGCATTTTAAAGGAGGAAGACTTTATCTCTGTCCATCAAGATATCCCTGTCCCTCATGGCTACTTGGTAAGCAGTTAGACACAACTGTTTTGAAGTAAATCCGTCAATGAGTAAATGAGTCTGAAAATCAGTGTTAAAAAATGTCACTGCCAAAAACATATTTTCTGCAATTAATTAAACATTTTTTGTGTTTAATGAAAAATATTATGGTTGTATGTTTGTACAACTGTTCAAATCTGTGTGTGCTAGTCGTGTACTGGCTAGTATTTTTGAGTTATGCTCGAAATAGCTACACCTGTCACTACACAATCAATCACTACCAAAACATTTGGAAGTGTTATGGTTGTTTTGTAAGTGACAAAATAGAATGTTCAATTATTTTTAAATAAAGTACATGTGACTGAGGTATAGGTTCATTAAAAGGTGACAGGATTTTAGTCTAAAGTCCATGTCAGTTAAAAGTCTAAAATGTGTTTTGAACTCTGACTTTGAGCCAGTTCAGTAGAATGACCCATATATTAAACTTTTTGAGGATAATTTGTGATAAGACTAATGATAAGGCTTATTTTTGCCTATGTATCTATCCTCATAAAAAAATGGGGATGATGCATGTGTGAATAAACTGAGTTGACACTCATGTTTACAAATGAAGCCTAGCATTCCAAACATTGTTGCTGTTTGTCAAAACCAGACATGAAGATGCCTGTGGAAACTTTGGTTCTGTCCCTGGACAAGAATTGAAATGATGGTTGTACCCACATGCACAACCAAGCTCATTTGCATAATATCAGTAGTCAACTTCAGTTGCTGCTGCATGCTTTCAGCAGAATGAGATTTTCATTCTCATATATATTTCCACTCTTATGTGAGCTCATTATATTAATCACTATTAAGTGGATTGCCAACTATATTTATAACATGAACAAGATGAGCAAACAGAACAATAGAATGAAATACATGATATGGCCAAAAGTATGTGGACACCTGACCATCACACCTACATGAGGTTGTTGGACATTCCAAAACCATGAGCATTAATATGGAATTGTCAACCCCTCCCAGCTATTACAGCCTCCACTCTTCTGGGAACACTTTACAGTAGTTTTTGAAGTGTGTCTGTGGGATTTTTTTGCCCATTCTGTCAAAAGGGCATTTGTGAGGTCAGGCATTGATATTGGATGAAAAGGCCTGGCTCGTAATCGACGTTCCAATTTATTCCAAAGGTATTCAGGGCTATGTGCAGGCCACTGAAGTTCATCCATACCAAACTCGTCAAACCAAGTCTTTTTGGCTTCATGCACTGGTGGACAGTCTTGCTGGAACAGGAAAGGGCCTTCCCAAAACTAATACCACAAAGTTGGAAGCATATAATTGTCTAAACATTACCCCTCACTGGACCTAAGGGGCCTAGCCCAAACTCTGAAAATCAGCCCCAGACCATTATCTCTCCTCCACCATATTTACTGCTGGCACTATGCATTCTGGTAGGTAGCATCCTCCTGGCATTTGCCAAACCCAGATTCCTCCACCAGACTACCAGATATTAGCATAATTTATCAATCCAGAGAATACGTTTCCACAGCTCCAGAGTCCAGCATGTTTTAAGCCAATCCAGCCAACACTTGGCACTGGGTATAGTGAACTTACCGGCAGGTGGTCGTCCATGAAAATCTATTTTATGAAGCTCGCAATGCACAGCTCTTGTGTTGATGTTGCTTCTAGAAACAGTTTGGAACTCTATAGTGATTGAAACAACAGAGTTGAAGTCTGTACTCCTGCAACATTCCATGATCTGGGACTAATTTTCAGTGTTGTGCACAGGACACAACCAGCCCACTGCAGGCTGCAGGACGAAGCTGCATGAAGAGAAATACCACAAATTAATGTGTGACAGTGCCACATGAGTAGTCTTAAAATGGTTTAAATTAAAATCCTTGCAAGGTTAAACCTTCTTTGTGTGTGTTTACCGTATTAAATGAATGGAGTTTTTTTTATTCTGTATTAGCCATGTATTATACAGGGGCCCTAACTGAAACTGAACTAAGAGTTGCGTAGGCCCTTTAAGAGCTCTGCTGGAAAAGGGGGGTGGAGTCACTGGGACAGGTGACTGGAACCAGGAAGAGGAAGGAGAGAAAAAGTTTGGCCATGTGGAAGTGGGCGTGGTGATGTGTTTGGGGTGAGAGGAGCAGTACAACCCAAAGCCTACCACTCAACCTGGGAACTCATGAGCTTGGCCGAGGATCCATCTAAAAGGGCAAGACAAGCGCATGGAGGAACTAGAAGGTGGATTTCCTCTAACTGTCTTGGATGTAACTGGATGTCAGGCCTGCTCCACCGGTGAGATCTATCCTGGATTTTTTCTTTTTTCGTTCACTGCAATGCATTGCTAAAGACTTGTGGGATTTTGGATTTTTTGTGACTTTGAGTTTTGGACTTGGTGGACTTTCAGAGTTCATGGACACTGGGCACTTATTGTGTGTATATAGGGGTTGTATATGTGTATGTGTTTGTTCCACTGATTTTTCCAATATAACTTCAACGGGTTTTTGTCTCTCCTGTTTGGGCTTATTTGCAATCTCCTCTACTCTTATACTTGGGGTGTATAGTCCTTGGACTTCAGTAACTGTTTTCTTGGTTGAGATTTGCAAGGGGATTGTTACAAATGAATAGCCTAAATAAAGTAGAATGATCACAGTAACTTCACAATGACCATGACAACTATGTTATATTTCATCAGAGAATAATATATTTATCACTGAGCTCTTCACTTCAACTCATTCAACTGTCATTGCTTGTCTATGGAGAATTCATTGTCTATGTGCTTGTACACGTGGTTGCAGTGGGGGTGGCTCAAACATCTGGCAGTAATTTGGAGGGGTTTCCACATACTTTTGTCTATATAATGTGTATAGTGTGCAATTTATGCCAGCTTTACAATGTATGATGCTTAGTTATCACACTGGGCCAACTGTGACAATGCACACGCAGATGTGTTTTGAATTCCAGACACAAGAAAACAATTTTACTGAAACTGCATTCCAGCCCCTTAATGAGCAAACAAAGGGCAAGAGTAGGAAAGAAAAATGTAGATATGAGATGAACACACTTTGGAGGTGAATGCATTGCCCAACTCTGTATATATGAGCTAACAGACAATTGGCTATCATTGCACATTGAGTCATGAAAGAAGAGGGAAACAAGGCCATTGGATTCATACATATGGCTGTGGCATCACTGGGATTTGAACACACAATTTTCCAAATTATTAAGTAAAACCTTTAAAAAAAACTTTAAACTTGCTTATGAGCAAGCAGAAATTTATCTTGCTCACACATCAGCAGCTTGATTGCTTACACACATAAAGGGACTCTGACATAATGTATAAGAGACCCAAATTGGAAATGAGTGAATTCAGCCTTAAGGGAAAAACACACACACAGACATGCACACACTTCAGTCATTGTCACAATGCAAAAGAGTTGGATCTGGTGCCAGGGTAATAAAAATGTTCACACATGAGTCCTGCAAAATGATGAAAATGTTATTGGAGCAATATATTTTAAGCAAATATGTTATACATTAACATGGGAGAGAAATGTTTGCTTAAACATAAGTTTTTTTTTGTTATTATGTTGTCTTGTTGTGTTTGTAGGAGTCCATGTTTAATTAGATCTTCATATATAATTTTTTCTAGGGCTCCAGGTGATGAGGAGGCCCAAGCAGAAAACCTGATGGTAGCCAAGGGTGAGATTACAATACTGTCTTAGTCTGCAAGTACATATTAGTACACAGGTAGTGGACAAAATAATGAAGCACTACATAAAAAGGGCTTTAGCTTTGAAGTAACTAAATCACAGTTACAAAAGCAGTAACACAAGCTGAATTTATTTGAGCAGTATATGTAAGCTGTAAGTGATCTGAGCAAGAGTTGAGTTTTTAAAACTTGAGGCAACAAAATTCCAAAAAGGCCAAATGCGTTATGTTTTAGCAAATACAAGAACCCAGATAAGTTTAGCTTACCTTAGAGCCAGCATAAGTCTGCTTGATGTTTTGAGCTGGGAGTGTGGTCTTCCACAATGTTTAATCCAAACCTTCTTCAGGATAGTATGTGTCAGGCATTATACATTATACATATACATAACACCTTTCCACTATTTCTGATTTAGTCTAATAATTCTGACTAATTTCCTTTTGCACTGCAGGTTTGTTTTGATGAGTTTTTTCCTCCACTTTAAAGAGGAAGGAACATTTAGAGACTATTGTGAGTCAATTGTAATTTTGTAAAAGGTCAATGATTTTCAACCCACAATATCTGGTTCCAAATGTGAAACATGGTGTGAGCTGCTGTTCTCATATTCCAAGAAGCTGTTGCCCTCATAATCTTAAGAGTTGCCCATTCAAAAATGGTTTCGTGAACACCAGGATGACATCAAGCACCTTTCATGACCTTCACAAAGTTCCCCTATGTACTTAATAGTATCCTAAAATGACTAAAGGTAATAGATGAATGTAAACAATGGACCTACTTTAGACAGATAGTTGATATTAATATATTTTAGTTTGTTTCCACGATTGTGTCCACTTCCTGTCATTGTTTCACCATTGCACTAAATTGTCTCTTCCATTGTTCCCTGATTTTATACAGCTAAGGAAACCCCAAAAACCGAGAACTGAGAGTCATCCAGGTAAGAAAGAATAATGGCTATTTTATAAATGCTATGGGAAGAGTTAAAGAGGCATAGCTTATAATCAGTAGTAGCTAGTATTGCAAGTGGTGAATAAAAGCTAGCCATCAGTTAGGATGATGTCATTAAATTGGTGACTTGACATTCATAGTTTGCAACCTTTATTATTTCAAAATATCCCTGTAATTCTCTCTTTTTTCCCTAACTTCTTAGAAACGCACAGCCGTGATTGAACCACACTTTCCGATGGCAACGATGATGCTGAAGCTGATTCCAGTCCATGGCTGTTGGAATGGAGGGAGGCAGAAGAGGAATGGGAGGAGAGCATGGCTGGGGTTAGGGATGGGCCAGTGTCATGTATATAAACCTCTAGTCCTGTCATGTGACCAGTAACTGTATCTGTCTTTTTCTGTCTATGCCCTTCTTGCGCCAGTTCGTATAAAGTAAGCCGTTGTAGAGAAACTAGCCACTACTTGCAGATTGTTCATACTGCTAGCGATTCTCCCCAGCTGAGCTCATGTGTTTTGTATAAATCGTAGGCTTTCACCATTAGTTTATGTCTTATTTTATTTTTTGTTAGTGTTATCAATGGCGTGGTCACTCTTGTTAAATGTCTATCTGCTGTTTTCATCTTGTAGATCATGTAGTTTATATTAAGACACAGGTTTACACATGATGCAGATATGTTAAAACATATTTGAATATACATACATGTGTGTATGTGTAAGAGTCTAAGTGTGTGTGTGTGTGTGTGTGTGTGTGTGTGTGTGTGTAGGCGAGCACACATGTGACAATTGAAGCTTGAAAGAGTGTGCATATGCATCTGTATCTGTCCATAGAAGTGAGTGATAGTGTGTGTCTACACGCCTCCCTTCTGACAATCTGACAATTGCAGCACCCAGTTCAAACACAAGCACAGAAACAGTTCCACCACTGTACCACAGGGGGCACCACACCACTGTTCTCTAAATCAGCTGCAACACTGCCCAGCTCTGTGCCTGCATAAAGACCTGTGTGAGTCCACAGGAGCACTCCACCTCACCATAGTGCCACTAAACTGTCCTCCACTCTCTCAATTTACATGTAGCGATTATGTCCACTCTTCTCAAACGACACATTTCGCTACAAATGTTCTGCTATTCTGTGCAACCAAACCGTTGGTCTCAATGGAGACGGTGTGCTTTTGTGTGTGTCTATGTCGTGCCACACATTACTTGTGGTAAAAAACCTGAGAGTAGTAGATGTGCAGGTCAGTTTGAAAAGAGAAAAATGTATTTACCATTTAGCACATTTATGCTGGATATATCTTGAATCATGCAGTCAGGTACAATGCTAAGTATTTTAGAAAATGCTGTGTTTATTAGAGAAAATTATAAATACATATTCTGTACTTCTTTGTGCAGCTGTATTGTATGGCCACATTTTGTGCTTTTAAATACCAAATAAAGTCTGTGTCTAACCCAGGACTCTGCGTGGAGACATTTTTAAAACAAAGGCCAAGGAAAAAGCTGTCAGTTAGTCCTTGTCTTTCTTCAAGACTGATGCATCATCTTTTAGAAAACACTATTATCTTTAATACTACACCAAAGCAACAGTGCTTAGACCCTACTAACTCAAAAAGAAGAATTCAGTGTCAGTCAAGGATGACCAACAGCCCTGAGGCCCTTCATCTGTACTTCAAAGACAGTTAACACAATGACTGTCATCAGTCTTGGACAGAAATTGTGATAAAACAAGCTGGCACTTGGGTGATGATTCCAAAGGTTAAGAAAAGCTGGCACTTGGGTGATGATTCCAAAGGTTAAGAAAAAAACAATGGTTTACAACTGCTCAAAGGCCAGATTTTATGGGCTAATAAATATGTGTTTATAGGTGGGGGGTGGTGTTGGCGAGGCAGGGCAGTTAGATTTATAGACTCCCATGAGAGGAAGCAGGGAGCGGCAGAAGGATGAAGTGCACCTTGGTACAGAATTAGGAGGGACTTTCAGCCCAGGGTAAATTTCCACAAAGACCAGGAGGCTCTACGCAACTGAAGTAAGCAAAAATAATCCTTTAAAACAAAGCTATACTATTTCTATGAATAAAGCACTGCTTATAGTCTGTTGTCTACAGCAATGAATTGGGCACTTTTCTTTTTGAAGAGTGACCCAGTTTTCTATTGCACATTGTTCAGGACTTGCATGACAGCATTCTAAAAATTTGAAAAAAGGAATACTATGCCTACCACAGAAGTCTTTATTCACTTGTATACTGATTTTCATAATCATGTCCACCACTTAGTTCATTATGAATTCTCGCATTCAGACAAGTGTGGGAGCGTAGCCTAAGTATCCTTATTTCCAGGCATCGACATGTGCAGATGATAAGGGATGTGTGATAACACAATTCTTATCCTCATTATGTTATAAATGCTACAAAAATCTTTTAGGTATTTTTTTCAATGATACAAATTAGTGCCTCAAATTTTGTAAAAAACATATTTTATAATAATAATATGCAATCATAATATGTTACTGTGTCTACCCTTTGTCTTTAGTACAGCTTCCATTATTTTCTGGAGATATGCTTTCAGTTTTTCAAAGAAATCTACAGGGATATTTTTAAACACCTCTGAAGTTTAGTTTTAGAAGTTGGTTAAATTTTCTGCTTCCCATGATCCAAGTAATTCCAAACACATTCAATGATTTTGAGGTCTTGGCTCTGGGGTGGCCAGTCCATGGTTGAAGTACATCAATAGCTTCTTTGTTTGATTTACAAATTTTCTTCTTTTGGATGGACAGAAACACATGGGTTTTTCAGATATTAAGCAGGAGTGGAGCTTGATTTTTCTCTGTTTATGAAAGATGAAAGCTTTAATGGTGACTGTTTTGCACAGTTGTCAGTATTCCTAATTTTCCCCTTTCCTCTATATCTTTAATATATTGTTGAATGGTTTTGGAAACTCCTGTTTTTCACTCATTTTTGTATGAATTTCTCCTTCCTTGTATAAGTAGATTATCAGAGAAATCTCCTGAAAAAATAAATACCTTGTACTTAATGGGAAAACAAATTCAATGGAAATCATATGAATGAAGGGTGGTTCTTGACTTGCATTGTAGTGTAGGTCGAGTTTAGAGATGAGAGTATCAAGAACATCTCAATTTTGAATAGTTTTTCTTTCAGTGGCTTTTAGTCCTAATAGTGAATAGTGAAATTACATGTTTTGTTGACTTTCAATGTGAGAACATGTTAACATGTCCTTTGTAAAAAAAAACAAAACGTTTTTTTCTGCAAATTTTAGTGCACAATTTCTATTTATTTGCTCAGTTTAACATAATGAAAAAAAATAAAATATAAAATATAAAATACCATTATTTTTGCACAGGCCACATTTTCTTTTTTATTTTTGACACTATGTTAAATTCAGCAAATAAACAGTAATTGTGCGTGAAATGTACAAAAGTGTATTCTCATTGTTGGAAATTAATATGCATTCCTTAGCAAGCTTGCAGAGAATATATTTTGCCATCTGCCACGGGCCACTCTACTGTGATGAGCTTAGTGGGTGTGGCCCTGAAAGGTGGCTGTAGGGGGGCACTGCTCTTCTGGTTAAAAAGGACACACAAGGTTGCTATTGTTGCTGATGTGCTGTTGATATTAGTGTAGTTGTGTTGTTTTGAGTAAATTGTGTCCGAGGATGATGGGCTTTGCAGTTCATCAGTGGTTAGAAGTGTCTACCATCCGTGTATGTTACGTCCTGCTGCGTTACTCCTTCCCTGTGTTTGTGTTGGGGTAGAGCTGGGCTGGGCATTTCTTACTATGTTGAAGTACCTGTTCAAAATAAAAGAACATTTGCCTGTATGTGCAATGTTTTCCACATTTTCTTCCACGTCAGTGCTATAGTATGAAGAATTTCGGCTTCAGTCCAGCTCAGAAGAAACACAGGGCAAGATAAATGCAAGATCTGATATGATTACCGAGCCACACAACCATAGGAACTTCACTCTTTTGGAATAGCTTATTTTATGAGGGATGTAATAGGCAATTACATAATAGATTTGTAGGTGCAATGTTTTTTATCCAGCTCCTCTTTTTCTAATCTCATATCGATCACATTCATGTGGTTTACACAAATTCATTTGAATTTATTTGAAGACTGGCAGCTAAATCGTTTTCCTCTTTCTTTTTTTCTCATCACAGTGCATATCCAGTGCATATACTTAGTATTCATTGCTCTTCAGAATGATTTGAAACATTATCTTTCTATCATTATCTTCCAGGTTGGACAGCCCTGACATTGCCTTTTCAGTAAATAGTCACATGTTTGTAGTTGGTCTGAACACAAATACAGTTATGTAAAGAAAAAAATAAACCTGATTGGTGCAGTTTGCTGTGAAGTTTGCTGTGAAGCCCAATCTTTCTGTGGATTTATCTTTCACTCTTACACCATCAAAACCATCCACAGATATCCTGCTCTGCACTGCCACGCACGCACAGACAATCACCATGTCTTCCAAAGGAGGTAAGTCCAGTTTCAAAGGTAACTTATCTAATTTTAGAAGCACAGTGTGGTGACCAAGTCATTTGATTTGTCGTAAATCTGAAGTAAGTTGTAGGAAATGTGTTGGCACACACACCTCGCAGACAGAAATCTACAAGAACTGTTAAAAAAACCATATCAAACATTAAGTTCTTGTAAACAGTGAAATTCCTATAGTTCCTAGAGGGTCCAGTATCAGTTCATGAAAGGGTGGGAAAGGTTCTCTGAGAACATGAAGCTCACATTAGAGTAAATGTTTGAGAACAAACTGGGAAAAGCTTGACTGTAACACTGAATAAATACCAAGCACAAAAAAGAAGACTTATTTAAAAAAAATCACATAGCATTTAGGTTAAATACTGATGTTTATTTGATGTCACAATTAAGTTTTCTTTAATTTGTTTTCAAATATGTACACAGTTATTAGATGTAGAATCCAGGGCTCAAAAAACTATAAAGAGTTTTGCAATAGTCTATTGCAGGTTCTGAAGGCCTTTAGCTGAATTATAGTACCCTAAACACTCCATAAAATGTAGCCAAAATAATAACTGAGGAGAATAACTGAGGTGAGAAATATAAGCTGCTGGTTAATGTCTTTGCATGTAGAGTAGTAGTATGAATATATAGCCTTTTAGATCTCTTATTATCATTATTACCATCTTACCAGAAAGCTAAAAGGCCTGACATATGGCAAGAAAACAGGCAAGACAAATTGTACAGTCAAATTGTCAGACACTGCTAATCTACAAAACTGTACATTTCTATTTTATGAACTATTTGATACTGCATAGTTTAATTTTAATTAGGAGCAATACATTGCAATAAATACGATGTATGATATTTATGATACACTATATTGCCAAAGGTCCAGTCCAAAGTCCAAAGACATGCAGTCAGTCCAATTGGACATGCTAAATTTCCCCTAGGTGTGAGTGTGAATGTCTATGTCTGTCTGCCCTGTGATGGACTGGTGACCTGTCCAGGGTGTATCCTGCCTTCCGCCCTTCCAGTACTTGTCTGACTGCATTGTGCCAACTGTAAAGTTTGGTGGAGGGGGGATTATGGTGTGGGGTTGTTTTTCAGGAGTTGGGCTCGACCCCTTAGTTCCAGTGAAAAGAACTCTTAATGCTTCAGCATAGCAAGAGATTTTAGACAATTTCATGGTCCCAACTTTGTGGGAACAGTTTGGGGATAGCCCTTTCCTGTTCCAACATGACTTTGCACCAGTGCACAAAGCAAGGTCCATAAAGACATGGATGAGTCAGTTTTGTGTGGAAGAACTTGACTAGTCCTGACCTCAACCCGATAGAACACCTTTGGGATGAATTAGAGCGGAGACTGTGAGCCAAGCCTTCTCGTCCAACATCAGTGTCTGACCTCACAAATGCACTTCTGGAAGAATGGTCAAAAATTTCCATAAACACACTCCTAAACCTTGTGGAAAGCCTTCCCAGAAGGGTTGAAGCTGTTATAGCTGCAAAGGGTGGGCCGACATCATATTAAACCCTATGGATTAAGAATGGGATGTCACTCAAGTTTATATGTGTGTTAAGGAAGACGAGCGAATACTTTTGCAATATAGTGTATATGTGAATATTCAACTTACCACCATTTTCCTTTTTTTCTCTTTTTTGTGTGCACTTTAGCAGCAGAATTGTGCTTTACTCCTGAGCTCACAGGGTTATGGGATTCAGATAAGTTACACACCTAAGGTTTCCCAGTGGACCCTGCTTTCCTCTTTTAACACTATTGCCATTAAAGTACTGTCCATCAGCACTTTTGGACAGAAGTAGGCCATGTTTCTAAGCCAATTATTTCATTTTACAAAGGTCATAAATCCTTTGGGGAATCACACACAGAAAATATCAGCAAATGAGCAGCACATTCCATACTTATGCATGGAGACAACATTGCCAACTACCACTCCATAGTACTGCAGTAAAGGGTGAACTATGACAATAAGTCAGTAAATAGAGAAGTTTCAGCATTTCCAGTAACAGTACACCCAAAAAACAGATACAGTTGTTTGCACCCAAATCATGTATTTTATTGATTTTTGAAGCAAAAAGAAGTAAATACAACCTCTGCAGCAAACTATCTAGGATTTTTCACTCACTCTTACTTGCAAACCACAACTAATTTTGTGATATTCTTGGGCCATCCTACATGCACAGCATGTTTAAGATCCTCAGAATCCATCATGCACTGCTTCAAGAAACTTGGTGAAGCTTTTGGAATAAACACCATTGAAAATCTGTGTAATAGTTTGCCCACAGACTTTCAATGATGTTCATTGCAAAAGCTTCACCTTCTAATTCTTGAAGTAGTTCACGACAGATTTTGACATGTTTTAAATCATTGTCTTTTTGTAGAAGCAAACTTTATTTCAGCTTCAAGTTCTTGACTGACTGTGTCACAATTACTTCCAGAATATGCTGATATTTAGTGGAATCCTCTCTTTTTTTATTTCTTTGCAATGTGCCACTAGCTGCCCCAAAATATAATAGATCCATTCCCATGCTTAGCAATTGTCAGCAAAACTTCTTATAGGTCCTTCCCTGTCGTATAAGGGATGTGCTTTGCCTTTCTGGCCAGTAAATAAGCAGTTCTATCTGAGACTTTTCTTGGTCTTCTAGATATTGCCTTGACTTCTACAGCTTCATTTTCAGATCCTCAGCCAGCTGCTTAAAGAGGCCTATTGTTGAATGAAATCACAAGGCTTGAAGAGTCAGAGAATTTATTATGCTTTAGAAATGTCATCAGCTCACAAGTGACAATTCTTGACGTACCTAACGAGTGTCCAATCTTTTCCCCATGTCGCAATAACAATTTTTTTTTCTATTTTTAAGCTCTAGCTAAACAATCAATTAATGTAGCAAAAAATTTAGTTTTAGAAGTTATGTTTATTTCTTTTCAGCTTATAAATAAACAAAATATGTTATTTGGCCAGGGTACCTAAACTTTATATTCAAATACACTACATGGCCAAAAGTATGTGAACACCTAACCATCACTCCCAGAGGAGCTTGTTGGACATCCTATTCCAAAATCATGGACATTAATATGGCCTTGATGCCCCCCTCCCACAGTTATGGCTATAACAGCTTCAATTTTACTGGGAAGACTTTCCCGTAGATTTTGGAGTGTGTCTGTGGAGATTGTCTGTGTACCCATTCAGGCAAAAAAGCATTTCTGAGGACAGGCACTGATGTTGGATGAGAAGGCCGGGGCTGGCAATTGACATTCCAATTCATCCGAAAGGTGTTCAGTGGGGTTGATGTCAGGGCTTTGTGCAGGACACTGGAGTTTCTCCACACCAAACTCATCAAACCATGATGACTTGTGGACCTGCTTTGTGCACGTGGGCACAGTCATGCAGGAACAGGAAAGGGGCTTCCCTAAATTGTTGTCACAAAATTGGGAGTATATAATTGTCTAAAATGTCTTTGTAAGCTGTAGCATTAACATTACCTGGAACTTCACTGGAACTGGAACTAAGGGGCCAAGCTCAAACCTCAAACCCCAGACCATTATCTTTCCTCCACCAAATTTTATTGTTGGCACAATACCTTCCAGTAGGTAGACTTCTCCTGGCATATGTCAACATGTTTCCACTGCTCCAAAGTCCAGTGGCAGCGTGCTTTAAATCACTCCAGCCAATGCTTGGCATTGCACCTAGTGATCTTAAGCTTGTGTGCATTCTCAGCCTTTAAAAACATTTTATGAAACCCCCACTGGAGAGTGTCTGTGCTGATGCTGCTTCCAGAGGCAGTTTGGAACTCTGTAGTAAGTGATGTAAAAGAGGATAGGTTATTTTTACATGCTATGTGCTTCAGCTCTCTGCAGCCCCAGTCTGTGAGTTCGCATGGTCTACCTCTTTGTGGTTGAGATGTTGTTGCTCCTAGATGCTTCCATTTCACTATAAAAGCATTTACGGTTGACTGGGGCAGATCTAGGAAATTTAACAAACTGACCTGTGGCAAATCCTATGACAGATTTAAAGTTACTGTGCTCTTCAGTGTGACCCATTCTACTGCCAATGTTTGTCTATGGGGACTGCATGGCTGTGTGCTTGATTTTATAAACCTGTTAGCAATGAGTTTGGCTGAAACACCTGAACTCAATAAGGGGTGTTCACATACTTTTGGACATATAGTCCACGTAAGCACAGACAAGCAGTGTTTCTGTTTCATTTAAAATGGCACAAATTCACCTTATATACACAATCCCAAATACACAGCCAGGGTCTATAGGCCAGTTCCCTACTATTTACATGGACGTTTGCTTCACATTACATGGTTCAAGGTGACGTACAAGTTCATATATTTGGATCAATATACCGGAGTACCAGCAGCGTGCAAAGAGGCATAGTCGGTCACACTCTTTAGACCCTCTTTAGATAGCTCATTGAATTTATTGTGAGCTTATGAGGTCTTGTACATATACATATGCACAGTCCACTAAAAGTTTAGGAACATCTGGCTCTTTAAAATGTTTAGATCTTGCCATTTTTCTTTGGAAAAACTCTAAAATTCAACAATCCTACGTCGGAAGTACCCTACATATTTTATAACCTTTAGTGATGTCAGCACATGAAGCTGAGCGTTGCAAAATGTACCCAAAGTATTAGTAAATAGTGGTGTTATCTTTTTTCTGCTTCAGCACCTGATGTGGACCCAGATGCTGACTTTGTGTACGGTGAGGATGAATGGTCTTAAATTTGCTTAGTGACATGAAGTTGTTTTCAATTTCTTATTAATACAAACATTGAGATCTACATGAGGAAACTGAGTAAATTATGTAGCATTTTCCTTCATGTTATGTATTATAGACTATGAAACTCTTCGCATTGTGGGCTTATCCATTGCTGGAGTGCTAGTGTTACTGTCTATTCTCCTACTGACTGGTGGGTATTAAAGTTGTTTTTTGCATCTTTAAGTGAGAGTGTGTGCCAGACAAGGAATCATAAACTTCTAATGACTTCTAACTCTTTCAGGTAACCGCATTCGTCGTTGCGGCAAGTCCAGGGTAAGTATTGATTGATCATTTTGTTTTTACTTGCTACATATATTCACATAAAACTTTCACAGATTTTCAACCAGAACTTACTAAACTTGTTGTTTCCCATCATCGAGAAACGTACTGCTTATCTGCAGATTCTCAATGATTGGGCTTAAATGGAACCAGACAGGAAAATCGTTTAAGCTTTCAAAACCCTTGTATATTTTTCTTTTTGAAAACAAGATACTCATAGTATAGTCAAATGTGTGTCTATAATATAGAAGATATTAAAAACTAGACTATACTATAAAACTAGACTATCATGCTCAAACAAGCACTATTAACCCCACATTAAATAATATACAGCTAACAACATGCATGCTGGTTCAGGCTAGATTTGATCAAGGATAGGATTAGATTAATTCTTTTTCCCTTCCATATTCATCCAGCATTTTCTGTTGATGTAAATCTGATACCAATGCCTGGTATTGGATTGGTACCATCTCTTATATGTTTGTTTATTTTTTTCATTTAATAAATATTAGTATGTTCTTTTTTATAAGATATCTAAAGACATGCATGATGATGCTGTTCCTGAGTTCCTCATTTTTGCAAAAGACATTTATTCATTAAAGGCAAAGAATATAAAGAGGATGTAAATTATGAGAAACAATCCTTTTTAGGAGAGATGTTTTGCAAAACAGCAAGCCTACTTTTAACAAATGTACCTTTAATGACATCTAGTGGCAAGGATCATTACAGACTATAATATATGAAGCAAAACAAAATATGACTCAAAAAATGATATACTTTATGTAATAACAAATATGATTATATGTGAGATAAAAGGGACAAAATGATGTGTACTTTTATTCAGACTTGCACAGCTAACACTGGGTTATCTGTTTGTGTGTGTGTCTGTATTTCAGCATAGGTCAGTGGGTGAAGAACACTAGAGCACTAAACTTGGACAGTCAGGGAACAATACCATTTCAAGAGTCCAAATAAATACATATACAAATATTATGGCTCCTGTGAGTTTTACAACAAATGCTTTGATGAAAATGTAAGTTTTGATGTAGTGAACACACATTTGCTTTTGTTCACAACCATGGTGATATTGCATGTGCATGTGAACTTTTTAGTTTTTTTCAGCAAAATTAGTAATCAATCAATCAATTAAGCAAATCCTCAATGTTGTATAAAAAGGTCAGTTTCCTTCATATATATATATATATATATATATATATATATATATATATATATATATGTAACTATAATCTGACACATTTATGGTGTAAGTAATCACATTACAGTGTTAAGGATATTATTAATAAATTCTTACTCGCTAAATGCATTTTCTTCGAATAAGTGTTTACACCTTTATAAGCTGGTGGATGTGACATTTGCCACTCTTTCTGACAGATTCTCTGGAGCTTATTGAAGCTTGTATATAGAAAGCAGTTTTCACATTGACTGACATGACGTTAGTATAGCTGAGGTCAGTATGGTGACTGGGCCACTACAATGAAGTTGTGACCCTGTGAAGCTGTTCAAGATTTTCTTCCCACCTACATTAACTTGGAGCTGTCAGACCACAATGGCCTCATTACGTCTACGATCAATATGCTTCAGCATACATTGGCAATTGCTTTTTGAGTCTGAATGGCACTTCACTGTTGATGATAATTACAGATGTCAGTAAAAAGACCCCAGTAATTTTAAGCCTGTGTGAATAAAGCTTAAGTTAATTGTTATTTAGCCTGAGTTAAATGAGTGTTATGTGTAATACAACAAAACTGGTACTAATTTCATGTGTTTTAATACTTTTTAAAGACCTTATAGAGGAGACATTACTCCACTCTGAATGCTGCTAATTTACTCCTGTTTGAGAGATATACCATTGTCATTGAAATTGCATGTAAGCAAAGAGATTCATTATTTATGCTCCTCTTGGGCCACACAAATCTGAAAATGTTCAAATGATTTGCTCACTTCACTTTTGTTTCCAAAAACTAATAACAATTGCAAGACCTCTTTGTCATGCACATACTGGGTGCCTCTTTTTCTGAAAGCATTGTAGAGATCAGATCAATTTTAATGTACATTTTCTTTTCTTTGTTCTCTTACAATCTTTAGGCTACAGTGCTTTTCAAAATGCATGGTTGGATCCAGTCCTTAATCCAAAATCAAATCACTATAAGATTACATTAAGATAAGAACATATTAGCACATAAACATGGAGTGCACCAGTGATCACACTATTTGTTGTCATTTTATATAGCATTTTTCCACACACAAAAGTTAACACAAGGTGGCAGCAAAGCATACCTTTGCAATAATACAGATCAGGGCCCAGTTTCTCAAAAGCATCTTAGCGTTACAATCATCTGCTAGAGAAAGTGCTTAGTGTGATACTCGCTCTATCATTTAAAAATCCTCTTCACGCTAAGATGCTTTTGGTAAACCCAGCCCTGTGTATTTAAAAAAAAAAACGCATGCTGGATTAATGGTTTAAAATAAATGACTTTTACAAAAGACAGAACAGAGTTGATCTGAACAAAGTTACTTTCAACGATACTGTACTAGACTCATAGGCTTGTAAACTAACCAGTACATTGTAAAGATGTGTTCATTTTACAGTGTACCAGTTTTTTGTTCAATTTGTTAAATTCGAAGTCAATCTGAAATCAAAACGGTCTCATTTAACCAATTTAGTTAATGTCTTTGGTCATATTAAGCATAAATTATAAAATCATCTAAACAACAAAATTCTTGTTTTCACAATATAATGACTTTTGCCCATCTGATTTTTGGCTACTTCACCATGCACCAGGGGGTGGGGGAAAACAATACTAACCAATGACTGTGTTCGTTTTCAACTTAGACTGACTTGATGTAATATGGCTGCCATATGTAAAAAATGAGCTGCCAGAAGGAGGAAATCTCCTTTGGGAGAGATATCCACAGGAGATAACGGATCTGAAGTTCTTAGAATAAAAATGTAACATACATGACACACACATCATGTTTGTCATTGGAGATTCCAGCCAACCAGGGTGCTGTTCTGACATCATGAAAGCGTATTGTAACTTGTGTCGTGGATGAAGACCAACTGCAGCCACCTTGCTCCTGTGAGATTCATGTAACATGGTGACATTCTGTAATGCTGGCAAAAGTTGGACAAAATTTCTAATCACCATGCATCACATTAAGTTAGCCCTGCACAGGGCCACATTAAGTCGAATACAGCCATTCCCTTACCTTTAAATATTCCATTCTCTGACTCATGTGATGATCAGTGGGCCTAATGTGGACAAATAAAGGCTGAAAAGGGACAATTCTAAAGACTATAAAAGAGATACTGATATCATTCTACTAAATCATTTTCCATTTTATTTCTCACAATTATCTGCCTATAAGTGACTTGGCGAAACCAACAACAACCCAACAATGCACAGATTCAAACAGCCCTGTACCCACTCATCTATATGGTCACTAACAGCAGTGAGCCTAGCTCTGAAGCCTAAACATTTCTGATGGTGTCACTTGTGCAACATGGATAGACGAGAAGAAGGAAAGGGAGACGACAGGGAGCCTTCATGTTGTTTGTGTTGCGTGCCATAATGGTGCCTGCTCATACATGACTTTTGTTTTTTTTGTCTACTAATTGAGTTTATCTCGCTAACTTTAAATGTCTGACAGTGGTCAAAATGTGCCTAACTTTGTAAATTAATGCGTCTTTGTTTACCGGGCTCTTTTTGCTAACGCTTTTGGCTTTTTTTGGCCAGTGGCTTTGGGCAGTTGTGGAGCTCCAGCTTGTCCTGGTTCTGTTGCAGTTTAGTACACTTTAGTAGAGTGTTGGCAACATTTAAGCACTACATGAACTGCTTACACCATAACTGGCCAAACTGTATACTATATAAGTGGCAGACTGAAACAGAATATATCAGTTCCAGGGGAGTCAGGGACAAGCTGGACAGGTTTAAACTGTTACGACATATTCCATTTGCCTGGTGTTCAGAATGTAAATACGGACGCTGTAGCGTGGGAATACAGATAACATCTTGGCACATGGGTCGGAAAGGAATGGAAATTTCATTCCTAGCCGTGTCCCGCTGATCTTGTAGGTTTATGCTGTGTTACCTGAAACCTTTTTCAACGCGACGGCCCATTGCTCTCTCCACACATTAATGCAGTGAGACCATTATCAGTACTTCATCTTCCACTGACAGTCAGTAAAAGCTGTCGTCTGATCAGATAATGCAGTTTTTTGTGTTTGTAGTCTACATACAAAGTTATCTGTCAAGTTTAAGAAAGGCTGACTCTATCAGAATCTCAGAATGAAAAAAACATGCAAGGGAAACACCAGCTGAGTAGTTTGCACAACAAATTGCTGATTACAACAGCATGCATTCAGTATAAGGCCTACAGAGAAAATTTATTTTTTGAGATTTATTATCATCATTATTACACATAAAACTCAGAATACACCTGTAGGTTCAATAGGTTTTTTTGGATAGAAAATAAAATTGCTATAATTGTGTTGACCTCACAGCACCACCACTCACTGTAAAGACATGAAAGTGGATAACTTTTCTCTACCCTGCACCATTTCACAACAAACCACTCTTACTTTGTTTATATCTCAGTCACTGAATTATTCAAAATTTCTAAAATAACAGTGTACCTCCCCTTTTACATTCTACAAAGCTTAACCAGGCGTTGTTGTACTAAATGCTGTAGGAATATCCAAATTCTCTCACATCTTATAAGCATTGTCCACCTTTAAGTCCAAAGACAAAAACTTTTGTGTTAAACTTTTCTTTCTATTAAAGACTATTAATGTGGCTTAATGTACAGAGGTTGGTCCCAAAACAACCTCTGGGAACACTACATTTCCATTTCTCTTACCCCTTATTTGTCATAAACACTGACCACTGTCGAAGGGGTGAACCCGTAAGCAGAGAAACTGTGGTGTTTCTAGGTTTTTGTTTTAGTACATAAAGCCGCATTAAGCTTTTTTCCTTATAATGAGCCTAAGAGAAAAGGCTTTATGTAAAAATCATTGCTTGGTCTTTGGATTACAATTTTGTTATTTTGTTATGACACATTGTTTATGGTTAGCAAGATGTGAGAGAAATGTAGTTTTCCTAGGTCACTCTGCAGAACATTAAGCCATCTTTTGCTACACAACTGCTTTTAGAAAAGAGCCATTTTAGCCAAACAGAAGCTCCACAGCCTCAAAAATCAGAAGTCCCCAACCTTCTAAAAGAACACTAGCAATACACCAGGTAAAGAAGGCACATTATTCCACTCACTTCTGTACATTTTTGCCCATGTCAGAAACTGAAATTTGTTTAGTAAAGCCCATATACATTTACAACACTAATAAGTCAGTGAGATAAAATCAGTCCAAAAAAAATACTCAAAACTGATGAGACATTATGACACACAACGTGCACAACATGAGTACTACTGCCAGAAGTAGAAAAGGAAAATTTTACCTAAAATTACTAAAGGAAAGAGAGCAGTTCAAAGATGTAAAGTGGAAAGGTGTAATGGCTGTGGTTTAGGTCTCTGTACATCATGATAAAACTTAAAATGATTAAAATACATATATTTTGATTTGGTTAAGTCCATTGTCCTCAGAGAGAACAATTTCTGTTGGATGTTAAAGTCATGGCACCTTTTATCATGAATCCTAAAGGACAAATATGGTTTATATGTATGCCTTATGTTAAAATAATCACTGTATTAATCCCAATAAAATTATCCTGACTCCAGTTTTGTTCCATGGAAATTTAACACAAGTGATGTTAATTTATTGAGTTAAAGAATTTGATTTCACCATCCCTGTTTCTGAAAATAGTGTAAAGATTATGGTAGAAAACATTTTTTTCCACCATATTTGCTGCTACTAAGCTTTGTATTCATCACTGTTTCCCTACTAGTCATATTTGCTCGCCTCTGCTACTGCAGGGTCCTCCTTCCACTTCTTCCATGCCTCTGTTTCTGCTGTCTGCAATGGTGAGAGATCCTTGTGAGATAAACACAGGAAAAAAGAGGAAGATGAGAGATCTGCAAAGCAAAACAGCCTATCCCTCTCTTTTTCTCACTCTATCTTAGTCTCTGTCTCTCCCTCCCTTCTCTAGTTATCCTCCCCTTCTCATTTGAATAAATTAACACCCCCTGATGTCTCGCTTCACCACCTTCTCTTCTTTCCCCTGATTTCTCCCCCCTCAATGGACAAGCTGGTGTGAGGGAGAGAGATCCAGAAATATCATCCTGTTTCTTTACACACCCATACTCACACACACACACACACACACACACACACACACACACACACACACACACACAATTATTCATCCTCACTCACTCACTCACTCACTCACTCATTTACTCACTCACTCACTCACTCACTCATTTACTCACTCACTCACTCATGCACTTTCACTCATGCACATACAATCACATCCACCCTTGAAAACAAACAAGAGAAAACACACCCAACCATGCTTATGTTTCTTATACTGCATCACGACCACACACAAATATGCACCAAAATACACACTCACTATTTTTTTTTCTTTCTTGGTGCAGATTGGCACTTACCAACACGCATGCGCATTAGCTCACAACCCTCCCTCTGCTGTGTGACGCTGTTCGGTGACTCATTTGACTAATGCCGGAGAGCTTAACATGGCGTACTGTACTGCATCAGGCTGCCTAATTACAGACGGAGCTGCTGTGTTGGC